AACCCCAGGCTCGCAGGCCATAGCCCATAGCTATACTGACTGAGCTATCCCTGCTCGTAATTCGATTCAATTCTTTATTATTTATGTGCCGAGTCAACAGCCGCAAGGCCAATTACAGACAGAGCACAGTGCAGATACAAGTAATTACATTACGGACAAATATAATATAAAGTCAAAGACAAATAATAATAATAATAATAATAATAATAATAAAAACAGGTAGTGGGGGAATCTTCATGATTTCTTTCAATATTTTTCTTCAGTGAAACTGATGCTATTTCTTTCTTAGCGTTGGCAAAACAGCCGCCGCTGGACTGTATACAGAAGGGTGGACGTCGAAGGAAGGGAAATGATTAGTACAACGCGCCTGGCACACTAAAGCGACATCATCGGCTGTTGAAAAGAAAAGCACTTTTTCTCTCACTTTATGACTGGGTAATCTTTGGGCATCAGCAGGTTTCATTTTGAGGTTCTGTTTATTCGAGACCGCTATTTCAACCCTCCCTTCTGTATGCCCTCAATTGGAAAGGGTGAGGGTGTCTATGAAGGAGGCGGTAAGAGTGCCGTAATAAATGGTTTCTTCTTCTTCGGTCTCTTACGCGTAACTTTATAGATTCTGCGGCAGAAAAAAAGTACCTGTACGGAAAAGAGACCCTTATGTTTAAAATAAAAGCGATCCCAGTCCCGACATTTGTGCGAGATTGCAGCTCAGTCGATATAACGGGAAGGCTATGTGCCTGATTCGATTCCCGGCAGAGCGAGGGATTTTTTTCTTGTAAACAGCGTCCAGATTGCCTCTGGACCCCAATCAGCCTCCTGCCCAACGGGTACTGGGAGCCCTTTCCTTGGGATAAAGTTTTTGGGAGTGAAGCCAACCATTAACTTCCATCATTTCCTAGATTAAGAATAAGTGGAGGAATGCCTCCACTCAGACTAAAACCTATGAATTCATTTCGTGGTGCTTAATTCGACACGGGGACAACTTGCCTCTCACTTTGTATAGTAAATGACATTTCAGAAAAGAATTAAAAGTAATTTGCTTGTTTAGGCCTGTTTGTACTGCAAACATGAGTGTTGAGGATGGCCTGGTATCAATGTAGTCTATACTCCTCTCAGGTTCTCACAGTGGTGCTTATTGGATATAACGTTGTGTAAAATTTATCCCTGTGCTTAAGTAATTAAGCAATACAGCATGAAGGCGTATGGGGGAGTGGATATATAGATCCACATTTGCTTGACCTCGGCACTAGTTGGAGGTGAGTGGTCAGCTTCAGGCCCCTGACGCTTTATTGAGCGGGGAAAGGTCACTCGGTACCGATTGGATAGGAGGTTGTGTGGGCCCCAGAGCAGGTCTGGACGACGTGGGGAAAAGAAAATTCTTGACCTTACCGAGACTCGAACTCCGACCCCTCTGTCGTCCAGTCCTTAGCCAGTCCCTATACCGACTACGCTATTCCGGCTCCTTTATAATGTTGTCTGGTGAAAGCCAACTGAAGTTTCGGAAGCATATTTCGCCTCCATCTTCAGAGGGAAATAATAAGCCAAGTAGGAAACAGGCATCAGTCAGTTCTATTTTGCTACTTGCTCCGTCCCGGTCTCTTGCTTGGCATATGTTTCGACCTTGAAACTAGACGCGATACGTTCCTTCAAAATCTGACCTGATTTCCACCGGACTATCCGGCGTTGCAATGGTTTAGCATGATTGCCATGTTTAATTAACCTAACGCCATACTAAAAATCGGAAAGGTTTAAATGTCATTACTTCCGACTCTGTATCTGTATTAAGTACTTCAATTACGAGTACAAAGTCCGTGAGGATCCCGGTTTATGATGAGAGACAATAATAATAGAAAAAAAGGAAAGCTGTCCCTGTAACAGGCCGTGAAGGTCCATAGGGTTGTGAGACGTTAGGGCCCCACATTATCTAGACAATCGGCTCAAAGGGTAAGGTTGTCAGCCTTACGCACCGGCCGCCCTTTATCCCCAGGAACATTATTTAATTATTCCTGGTACTCATTTCTGTTAGAGTCTGAGTCGACCCCAGGGCCAGAGTGCGGCTGGAAGGATTAGGTCAATTGAAAAAATTCAATGACTTCATCGGGGCTAAAGAGAATCATCTTCATTTAATGTGGAATTTACGTAGAAAAGAACGGTGATATGGCCGACTGGAAAGAGATAATTTAGAAATGATTTCACCATTTGATACGGGTTAGTTTCACGCACAGAAGGAATGGTGCAATATTCAACACTGAATCTTGTGTTAGTGGAGTTTATTCACACATGTGCACTTAGAAGTCTTTTCTTCAAGTTATTCCTCATTAGATAAACACCTGCACATGAAAATAGAGCACCTAAACCTATAGCTTTTTAAGATACAATATCAGAATAGTGGTTTTAACTACTTCTTAGGGATCCTGCAGTTGTATTCACACAACCTTGAATGATTCAGGAAAAATCTTGGAACTGACGACATCATCCGTTTTTATGTGTCGGGTCGCGTAATAGTACAATGTCGAACAAAGACCGAAGTCTTATAATGTATCGAGGGTAAGAAAATATGCAACAGAAACCGAAGCTTCATTCGAAATCCACTAAATTATCAGATTAAAATGGCCATGAATACCAGCCCTAATGAGGAAGTGAGAAGAAACAAAACTTCGTGATGTTTAGATGGGAAGATGTAACAATGGATTTATTGTTCGATGCAGTAAAGTAAAAATATTCTACTTAGTAAGATAAATAATATATAACAAGAATATCATAGTTAGTTATTTAGAGAGGGTGGGTTTCCCCATGCACCGCGACCAGTTTGATCTATTGTGCTTCCCTCTATGATATTCTATCAGTCTCTATACCCTACCGATAAATGGTGCGTACCATCAGTCCCGCCGAGCAAGCGAGTTCGGCCACTTGCTTAGCGGTGTCTAATGCTTCCCCCATCTATCAGAGGCCTTAGAGACTATTGTTGGGCGGGAAACGTCCTGGAATTTGGCTCAGTGATCCCCTTTGAGGATATGAGGTTCTTTTACGTGCCGTAAAGTTACGACATGGGACACAGCTTAAAGTCCCTCCCGGAGGACTTGTTCCCTGAATTTTTCCGCCCTTAAAATTTCGACGACCTCCGCCGGGTATTTGAATCCGTATACCACGGGTCATGAGGTGGGAACGTTACCTCTAGACTACGGAGGCCGCTAAGAATATCATAACATATAAGCAAACATTATTATTATTAAAAGAATAACCGATCGAACCGTATTCTTGGCCGAAATATTTCTTCAATTGAGTGGAGACATTCCTACAATTCATTGCTTTTGCAGAATGGAACCCTTCTTGCATTCAGTTCTACAGTACATATATTGTGTTTCTGGACATTATCCATCGTCCTGCCTTTATCAAAAACACCGTCATGTTTATTTTTGAAAATACAAACAGGAAGGTTTTTTAGATAAAGACAAGACGATGGATTATGTCCAGAAACATAATATTTGTACTAATGTAACATCGTCACAAGCTTTTAGATCTTATCTAAAGTGCATATTGTATATACGGATTTACGTGCTAAGATATATGCTTCAATATATCAGCTCTCTTTCACAGTCACTGTTCGTAAACAAAACTTTTGGCGAAGCACTCTGTCCATGATACATCACATCTTCCTCTCACTGATCCATATTACCGGCCCCTCTTCAATTATGCTTTGATATCGTTTTCTCGTATATTCTTCAACTTTGCAATATACTCCTTACAAGAAGCTTCCAAATTCATGTCACATAAACTGGTCAATCTAACAGCCATGATTTGGGACAGCACAGTCGGTATAGCGACGGGTTACGGGCTGGAAATTCGGGGTTCAATTCTCGGCATGAGAGTTTTATGTTCTCCAAGGTGTCCACCGAGGTTCCAAAGCCCACCCAGCTTGCTGTCCACGGGTACTAGAGGCTCCTTCCCAGAAGGTAACGGGACCAGGAATGGATCTGACAACTCGCCTCCATCTGGTGCCGAGGTTAAGTATGGTGCAGCTATACTTGAACTACACCCTACGTCTTCACGGCATAGTGCTTAAATAATTAAGCACATGGACAATTTTACTTGACTTTACATTATTGTAACTGTACAGTCATGGATGAACCCTAAAACACTACAATATGGCTCAAGTCTCAATTAATGCTCATTAGTTTCAAGATCTGTCATTAGTAACTTATTTCTAAATTTCAGTTCCTATTTCTATTTCTGTGCTTTCCACAGAGCGGATAAATGCGGGTATCCTCATACGGAGCGTTTTCAGTTGCAGTTCTTCGAATCTCTTTAACATTATCAGGCCTGCAACTCTGTATTTGGACACAAATGTTTTACTACTCTCCAATGGCTTGACAGCAGAGAATTCCTAATGCAGTCCTGTTGACTTACATTGACACACTGGTCACGTTCGGTGTATAAATACATGAGTAACATGTCTCGAAAATTTAAATAAACGCGGCTAATACATGACTGGACGTCGGCAGTCTTGAAAGAGCTTCACAGTTCTTGAAAAATATTCTAGAAGCCAAACACCCACTAAAAGCTGACTGATTAAAAAGGAAACATTGAAAGAACAGACATAACCCTTTCTTAGAACATAATTTATTCATCACGCAGCAAAATTAATTTATATTATAAATAAGAAATTAATTGAGCTTTTCAGTATTTATGAATTCTTGATTTCAGCGGAATGAAAGAATAAGATTTGAAGTAAAAATAAAAGCAGCCAAGAGCATCTTTTTCAGACAAAATATTGCTTGATACTTCAAAGCTTGTTTAGTCTGAAATACGAAAACCATTGAAGATAGACGTTTCTGTGAAATTCTTGGTCCTATTACTTTTCTTGAGTCTGAAGCAATGAAATTGTGTGAGGACGTTGCGAGATCAGAGTACCGTGTTGTGTAGACACGAACACACGTACGCCTTAAATAAACTTTTTGATTGCATGAATTGTGTGTCTTCTGCAGTACTTTTTTTTTCAGATTAAATTACGGGAGTGGTATGAAGTCTGAGAAACATCCAGGCAGATCGCAATTGTGGGGGTTCTCATTCGGCTCAACTGCCTCAGCGAACAACAGAGGAACCTTTCAAAATGTAAAAGTATGTTAAAAAGGTAAATATGTCCTTGTGCGTAACTAACTAAGCACTATGGCATGAAGGCGTATAAAGGAGTGGATGTATAGATCCGCATTTTCTTGACCTCGGAACGCTTTACCCTGGGGGAAAGAGCTCCTGGTACCAACTGGTTGGAGGGTGGGTGGGCGCCAGAGCCGGTCTGGAAAACGTGGAGAAGAGAAAATTCTTGGCGCTACCGGGACACGAACTCCGGCCCCTCTGTCGTCCAGCCCGTAGCTAGTCGCTATACCTACTACGCTATCCTGGCTCCAAAAACGTTAAATATATGAAAATTAGAGGAAAATTTTGAAACATATTTCTTAGAGAAAATTAAATTTTTAATAATATGGAAGCCTTATGTAATATTTAGAAAACATTGTGAGGTTCAGATCCCAGAACGAAAGCCACAAATTAAAATTTTATTAAAGAATAAAACCGCATAGAGAAATAAAATGTATTAGTGTACGGAAANATTAAAGCATAAAACCGCATAGAGAAATAAATTGTATTAGTGTACGGAAAGTATAACTAAGCCTTTTAAGCTCACGAAAATTCCTTCTTGCTCACAGAAGTTCACCGATCTGAAAGCCAAAGGCCTGAAATAGACAACATTATTGATGTTCAAAACTATTGTTTTTTCAGGGATCTGCTGCTTTCTTTCGGTAGCTAAGGAAAAACGTTTCTGACAGCGAGGAACCGAGGAGAACACTTCGAACAGGGAAGGAGGAAGACACAGGGAAACGGAGAAATTTACATAATGAGGGACTTAATCATTTATATTCCCTTCGCCAAATCCTATTACAGTGAACGCTTCAAGGGGAATGAAGCAGTTGAGATATGCAGAAAGCATTAAGGAGTTACAAAAATATACAAAAAATAATGAGAACCCGCGAAGAGAAGAGGTCAAGTCTCAGAACTTGGAGTTAGTGAGAAGATGATACGAAACGGATCATAAAGACAAAAGCCAAAATATGACGACGATCGGATTAGCTTGACTCAGAATGGGGTGTAGTCGTAAGCACTTGACTAATCATATGGTTCAGTGGTAGGATCTTGTGGAAAATATATTGGGTTCTATAAAAGGTAAAATAATTTCTTTATCAAACTGAGGTGTGTGAACTTCTGAAGAATTACAGTAAATGAGCTAATTACTCAAATTATGCTTATCTGAAAATATATTTGTTTACTGCAGAATCTTCTTGTGAAATGTGACGCCACATCACGGTGCAAAATCCTAGATAGATAACAATAGATACATAGGTGCCGCCGTGACTAGCTCAAACTTCATACCGTTTTTCGCATGTAGTGGTCGACTTATTAAAAGTCATGGATGATATAACTCAACAGAAGATGAATAAAGAACTATTTCCAATTTTATTTATTGCCACATGACAATAGGATACAAAAGCAATCCTTGTTAAATATATGCATACTATGTAGAACTAAAAAGTATTTCCATATTAGTACATACTGTAATATATTTCACTTTCAAGTGAAGAGTTATTTTGTTTAATACAGGCGAAAATAAGTTTCTAAGTTCAGGATTTTCTCGAAGGATTCTGGATGTCAAGAAAGGCAAATAAAAGGAGTGTATAAACAAAATCTTTAAACAAGAAATGAGATCGTAGAGAGGTAGGGTGGTGTGGTATGGACTGGATCGATTTGGCTCAAGATAGACCAGTGGAAGGCTCTTGTGAACACGGTAATGAACCTGCGGATTCCATAAAATCCTGGGAAGTTCTTCAGTAGCTACACAATTGACGGCTTCTCAAGATGGGATCAGCTCCAGGAAGCTGTTAAGTTATGTCGATATATAAACCCATAACTTCGCAAATATGCACACGCCTCGATGGAAATGTAAAATAACATTCAGCTGAAATATGTTTCTATGTCTGGGGATATAACGCCGAATGCAGAATCCTAGTTTGGTGCGGAATTTGAATTTTCAGTTCTATCGTTTCCCAGAGCAATAGTTACAGGTCTAAAATTGAAAAGTTCCCTACTAATGAGATTGAAAAGTACGAAAAAGATAAAGTTGTCCTTGTGCTTAACTAATTAAACACTACAGTATGAAGGCGTATGGGGGAGTGGATGTGTAGATCCACATTTTCTTGACCTCTGCACTACCTGGAGCTGAGTGGTCAGCGTCACTCTCCGGCCGCTTTAACTCCCGTGCCCCCTGGATATAAGGATGGGTGAACCCTAGAGTTTGTCAGGAAGACGTGGAAAAGTGAAAATTCTTGAACCTACCGGGACTCGAACTCTGAACCCTTGGTCATCCAGCCCGTAGCCAGTCTCTACACCGACTGCGCTATCCCGGGTCTTTATGAAGGAAATTAAATCAGTCAAAATCGCACAAAAATCAATATTTTCCTACAAATACAATGTATTGAAAGAAAACTGTATGAACTGAAACGGCGGAACCTGCAGGAGAACAAGAAGATTATAAAACTGAAGGCACCTTCATTTTCGGCTGATATACTTACGGAAATGAACGGAAAAACAAACACAAAAAATGTTCCTATTAAAGAAAACAAGAAGGCGTAATCTCGAATCCAATCAAATTCTGTATACATGTATGTTTAGTCCTATCGAAGTACTATCTTACGCTCACCTCCATTTGAAAGAATAATAATAATTTCGCAAAAGATCATATAAGGATAGGGCTCTTTAGTGATTGCCTCTTTCTTCTTCTTCTTCTTCTTCTTCTTCTTCTTCTTCTTCTTCTTCTTCTCTTCTCCTCCTTCTCCTCCTCCTCCTCCTTCTCTTTCTAATGGTTTTATTTTTGTACATAT